CACTCGGTAAAGTGAAAATAAGATCTTTGCCACAAATAAATGTACCACAAATAGGTGTGCTTGTCGCAGAAACCAATTGCTATGAAATTCAAAGTGTCACCAATCTTTAGACTGCACTAGTAAGTAAGCACAATTGGATAATGTTACCTATGGTGAGTAAAATAGCGGCTCGTCTCTAATTCCAGCAAAGAGAAGAAAGAAAACAGTGGGGACGCACGTTCTAACCTAACCTAACATAGTCTAATAAATTACCATAATTATTACCAACCAAATTATTAGAATAGGTTAGGTTATGTTTGAACGTGCGTCCCCACTGTTTCCTTTCTTCTCTTTGCTGGAATTAGAGACGAGCCGCCATTTTACTCACCATAGGTAACATTAACTGCACAATTATATCATGCGATCACCAGAAAAAGTGTGATAACTTTATTATTTTTCGTCTCGGTCCCCTCCGTTCAGATAGATACTCAAAGTCCCAAAATTCCATATAATAATTTCCCTAATTGTATTAATATTTTAAATCGTTTGATTGTTTGTAAGTTTTTTAATTAGTTGATGATTGATTCTATCAACTAATTTGTTGATTGTTTGATTGTATTAACTTAATTCTTCAGATATTGAAAATTAAATAAAGAACAATATGTTAATTTAAGCGTACAGAAACGTTGCTGTTGTTCCAGCAAAGATCTTATTTTCACTTTACCAAATGCCTAGTAGGTAATTTGCAGATTACCTAGTTAATCTGCAGATTAGCTAGGTAATGTACGCATTAACGATTTTTGAGCTTTAGCGGTAACATATATACCACAAACTCTCATATTTTAAAAGTACTCAACATAAGAGAGATAATTTATAATTAAACTTAATACACCATTAATATTTATTATATCAGATATCATACGAAATAGATTAAGAATTTCAATCAATTAATATTTATGATCTTTCATATAAATACATTAAATTTCTTGTCTCTGTTACAGCTTAGAAAAATCAACCTTTATTGTTTACATGGCATTTCACAGGTGAGATATCAGGTAAATAATAAAGATTGACTTTTCTGAAATGTATTTTTTTCTTTTTTACATTTGAAACTACGTTTAAAAGAAAAGATACAATGCAAATATAATAACACGAACAACATATCTTTTAGCTGCAATTTTCAATACTCTGGCTATAAATCTGCTAATTTTAATAATTAATACAAAGTAATTTGCTACTACAGGTAGACGTTAGGCGCCATCTCTTATCTAAATTATTTAATAAATTATTTATAATTATTAATATTGATAAGACAGGTTTACTGTAGACTGTATATATATATATATATATATAATACATATGTTTAAGTTATATAACAAAGTAATATAAGTAAAAATGTAATATAATAAAATTGCATAATACGTGGTATTTAACGATAAAGCAATCTCTATTGTAAAAGGAAGATCTTCTAAATATTGAGGATATTGCACTCAAATATCGTAGTAATTCTTAAGCATTTGCGGAGATCTCATTTCATATTTCCTAGCGCGAATAATAACTGCACTGTAGTTTCTTAGAACCTATAAAGTTTCTTAGAACCTATAAACCCATTCTTAGAACCAATTCTTCATCAATTTCGTCAAATCGTTTAAGCAGAAACATCCTAATATAAATATGTATTGAGTCTATAATTATTTACATAATGTTTATAACAAATCACATAAATCACATTGCAATTTTCTTCTAACGTTTTTGCTCTGTTCCATAGAAATAGTTGTATCAAAGTTACATAAAATTCGCTTAATAGAAACGAATACACTATACAATTTCATACTTTAAGTACACTGTAATAAGTTAATTCTTATCGATATCGAAGCCTTGAACACTGTATTTTTTAACTGATATTATTATCTAAATTCCTTGATTATATTAATTTAATTCTTTAAATAAATAAGCTGTAAGTATTAATTTTTTTCCCCTTACTGTTATTATAAGTTATTCTAGTGAGTTAAAACAGTGGTTACATAATTTGGAACCTGATATTAAAAACCAGTTTAAATTTGTTTTATGCTTTTATAATGAATGTCACAGATGAATTTATTATCTCTTAAGCTATCATTATGGTAGATATACGTAAAAAAGTGAAACGATCTTACCATCTTAAAATTATTAATAAATTTTTCATGAGATGCTAAAGCGCATTTTAAATATTCTACACATGAACTTGTCAAAGAACCTTAAGGTTACTCATATACATTAAAATTTTCAGTAATACTTTACCGAAAAACCTTAAATTTGTTACAAATATTACATAATGTGTTTAAAATATTTAAAAACTTACTACGATCAAGTGGAACAAATGCCTCAACAATGCAGCATTTGTTCCACTTGATCGTAGTGGAGAATAGTTTTAAATAGTAGGAAAATTTCTTTTGAATTTGTATTTTAATTGTATTTATTTATAATCTATTCTTATCTAATCTATTATTTATTAAAATACACAATTTAATAAAATGTGTATTTTAATTATAGAATAAATTATTTTATATTTCTTATTATTTTAAATATCAGCTACAAGCAAAAAAATTAAATTAATGTCAACGCCCTAAATCGCTTATTGGACGTTACGAGATATTAAAAAAAACTTGTTTTCGTCTTCGTATAAGAAAACCCATTAGAAAGACTTCGGTAAGTACGCCAGTTTAATTTCTGTGCTTATAGCTAACATTTAAATTAATTAAAATAATATAAAATAACTTCTTAGTGTTATATCATATTTTCTTAATTGAAATACATACTATTTAAAGTTCAAAAGAATTGTTTCTATTATTGAAATTGCTCTGCAGCCTACGTGAAGAAAGTCTATATTTAGATGCTCCTATAGCTGTAATGAATATCTTATATAATAATAAATGCAATATTCGCCACATTATTGTGACGATACATTGTCGTTACAATAGAATCTCTGACTGTATAATATATTACATTAGTTCAAACGAAAATTTATTCTTTTGAACAAAAGACACTAACTCAATTTCTAATTATTTTAACTAAATCAAATTAGTATAATAAGTGCTTTAAATGGATTATAGAAACATTAGACTAACATCGATAAAAAATGTTAACAGGTTCTTCACCTCTGTTCTAAATTTTAAACTGGTTTGTAAAATAATATATTATTTTAAAAAAGTGATAAGAAAACTGATAAGATTAAGCTTCGCATGAAAAATATGAATACAGTGGGTGATCGGTTAACGAACATAATCCGTTTTAAGACTTTGTTCGCTATACGAATTGTTCGTTAACCGATTATGAATTTACCATAGGTTTGTATAGGAATTTGATTAATTCGTTTCGGAAACCCCAAAAAATAAAAAAAAATATATACACTTTCTTACTACGTTTATTTATATGTAATAGTAACAATATGTATATATGTTACCGCTAAAGCTCGAAATCCGTTAATGTGTACATTACCTAGCTAATCTGCAGATTAACTAGGGTGATCCGTTAAAGCTGCGAAAATTATTCCATTTCTCAAATTACCTAGGTAATCTGCAGATTATCTAGGTAATCTGCGAATTACCTACTAGGCACTCGGTAAAGTGAAAATAAGATCTTTGCTGGAACAACAGCAACGTTTCTGTACGCTTAAATTAACATAATGTTATTTATTTAATTTTCAATATCTAAAGAATCAAGTTAATACAATCAACAAATTAGTTGATTGAATCAATCATCAATCAATTAAAAAAACTTTAATACAAAAATCAAACGGTTTAAAATATTACTACAATTAGGGAAATGAATTTGCAAAACATATGATAAAATTGTACTTACTTATTAGTGCAATCTAAAGATTGGTGACACTTTGAATTACGTAGCAATTGGTTTTTGCGACAAGCACGCCTATTTGTGGTACATTTAGATTTGCAGTCACATTTTCTGAAACCCTGCCCAGTACCAAGGGATTGTTTTATTGCTGTTTGACGTAAAGATATTTCTACAGCAGGGACATCCATCTTCTTTCGTTAAAAATCTCTCTTTGCAAACACTGAATTCAGATTTTGCATACAATTGTTTTAAAATACCTGTTTTAGTATCAAGTTTATAAAAGCCATCCTCTGTTTTACTAAGAACCACAGCTAAAATTGAACGTGCATCAGTTTTTGCTCTGTCTTCTTCGGGTACTTTAATTCTCACAGCGAAACCTTCATCGACGTTTGGGTGCTTTGCATTAGAAACTGCTAACATTTTCTTTGCTTGCTTTTCTAAACATTTCTTGGCTTCATCACGCTGTATTTTCTGATCCATATTCTTTTTACAGATGATGCACAATACATTCTTACCATACCCTTCCTCTTTAGGATCTACTTCACCACAAACTGCGTGAACAAACATATTACACGATTTACACTTGTGAGCACTTGATGCTGCTTTTGAGCAAACAATACAGACTATGTCTTGTATAGTGCTCTTTACAGGCTCCGTACGAAACTGTGATGGCGATTCTGCTGAAGTTGAGAGTAACTCAGTGATGACTTCTTCAACTTGCAGAGGCGATTCCTTGGAGGTGCAGGGTAACTGAATATTCTTCGTGACTGCATCATCAATCAACGGTATAGAAGGCAGTTTAAGATTACTATCGGTAAATTCTTGTATTTCTATAGGTGATTCTGTAGAAGCGGGGGATAACGGAATGTCCTCTTGAGTAAGATTTGACTGTGATCTCATAATCACAGTCTCTTGTGAATCTTCTAATTTTTCAAGGTCTTCTTCAGTTTTTATCGAATGTCAAACAATTCTCCGGCATGGACAAACTTTTTCAAACCTTTCTCGCGCATCTGACAACGGCTCAATGAGTTTTTCACAGCCTCGTACAGTCAACACATCACACCTTTGAATTATTTGATAATCTCGAGATGATTCTTTCTTCTTGGAAACTTTTATTTGCTTTACATCTTCAATTATGGAATCATACTTTGGTTTGTTATTAAAACACTACGTATTATATTTTAAATCTTCGCTAAAGAGGTTTGCGAAGAATCTTTTCTTGATTTTACTCACCAATTCGGTGCTTGCTTGCATTCTAGGATTTAAATTTATCTACGTAAAAAGAAGGAGTGGGGAAAGGAAGTGAAAGAAACAAACTTTTGAACTTTAACGATACGGAAGCCGTTAATGTGCAGATTACCTAGATACTCTGCAAATTACCTAGGTAATTTGAGAAATTGAACAATTTTCGCAGCTTTAACGGATCACCCTAGTTAATCTGCAGATTAGCTAGGTAATGTACACATTAACGGATTTCGAGCTTTAGCGGTAACATACACACAGTTTGCATTTTTATTAGTCATGTGATTTTTTCGTTTGTGAGGGTTAAAGAATCTGTCCAATGTCGATTGCTTTTCTCTCTTCTTCAGGATTTTTCAGAAGTAATTAATAGCACTGTAATTGTAGAGAACTAGAGATCCCCAAGCCCATTTACCTCACCCTGGTTTGGATGCCATTCTAAGACTTGTTCTGACATCCTTCCACTTCTTCAAAGGATCTTTAATAGTAGATATCGGCATTAATCCTCTTTTTCAGAAGAAAACATATCTCGCTGAGTTTCTTTGTGTTCTTCATTCGATTGTTCTTGGCGTTTTTCTGTCATCAGACACGTTACATTTTCTATTATGAGCTCTTCAATGTTCTATATTTCTCAGAGATGATTTTTGTTACTTCTTTAGCTGCTTGAGACTTCTCGATTATACATTATCTTTCTTGGGATAAGATTGAACTGTGGCCTACTGTAGACCTGTTCGAGCCATACCGCCTAGCATCATCAGACATCTTCTGCCCAGTCTCTACCCTCGCTATTATATTCTCATCTTTCGAAAATAAAAACCGACGCAAAACTTAAGGAGTGGCCGATCGACAGTATCGCAAATACTATAAAAGAATTGTTTCTGTCAGAAAAATAAAAGGTTGGAATTACAAGGGAAAGTTTCAAAGTTCGGAGGAATACTATCCGATTAGTATATACTGGGTTGAGCGTCGATGTCGACGTCTTCCGCACTTCGAAAAGTTCCGAATTGTTGCCTGAAGACAAAGGAAGACCAATCGGTATTCATTATTTTACATCGCTTCTTCTTGTGTTTGTTCGGTGAGGTGTTCGTTATTCGAACACAAAAATCGTTCGCGAAAGTGTTCGTTATTCGATTTGTTCGTTAATTAACCGATTATCCACTGTATTAAGGAAGACTGTCGGAGTTCAGGAAAAAAACATGTCTAGTTTTGTCTTATATTTTAATTTGATAGTTTACAGTAATGAAATCATATGTAATTCTATAATTTTTTCTTTATAAATAAAAATATCCTACATTATGTTTGTTAACCTGGATAAAAACCTCATAAAACAATTTTTAGTTTCAGGGGTCTTGAAACGTCAAGATTCTAAAAACCGGACAGAAGTGTTAGATGATAATAATACAGTATTATGTTATAACAGCCAGTAAAGTAAAACTTTTAGCCTATTACAAATACTTTCACTTGTTATGTTGTAACTACCGGAAAATAAATTAATGTAGCATCGTCAATTTCGTCATATTTTTTGTTTAGTATATTTTCTAAAACACCTGGTTTAATTTGCCGTTCTGTTAAACACTAAACACTATTTTTTTTATTCATGATTAACTTCGTAATAACTGTTGAAGTAACAAAGCAACTATAGAAACAAGATGACAAAATTCAGTGTAATTTGGCTGGTGTTGCATATACACTATTGAGCCTGCGTACTTTCTCGAACATTAGTTCAATGGTTCACTACGGGATCGCTGTAATTTATCAATGTCACAAATAGAACAGTAGAGAGTCGTTTATCCGAAGGTCGGTTATCCGAAACGTCGATTATCCGAAAGAATTCCAGTCGACAAATTTAAATTTTCGCCAGTGCTGTGGCGCTGTAATCTTTGGCTATGTCTCGACTACCCAAATATTTTGTTTTTGATACTAAATTAACTTCTGAAGTATAATTTTTTATTGTTTTTATATTTTTCAATATATTTATTTTGTTTGCACAAAATAAAAAAATAACTTTTAACGATACAATAGTCTTCGTTAGGCTTAACTTCGACGAAAATTCAACGCGAAGCGATACAGAAAAATTTCAACACGGGATAAATTAATATATTTTTTCGTACATAATTGGTTATCCGAAAGATAAGTTATCCGAACAACCCCAGTCCGCAACTGATTCGGATAAACGACGCTCTACTGTATTTAAGATCCCACACTAAAAATCATTTATTTGAAAGTTACAGCACCACGTATCGAGAATGAAAATAAAAAGTTCAATATTTGAGGAAGACAAAGAACAGTTTATTTGGGATGAAAAGGCTGTGAAAAGTTTTAAAAAAGTCATAAGTAAGTGAAATATTTCTATTATATTTAGAAATAATACATATATTTATTTAATTTATTATTTTCTCCTTGGTGATTACTGGTATTGAACTTTCAATCTTTGAGTTAATGTAATTCAATAAACTAATTCTGCAACTTATCCGAATATCTAGATTTCTAGGCATTTAACTCACACTGTATTGAATATATTTCAAACATTATATATGCATTTCCAACTAATGTTGACAGTTTCTTTGCTTTTATTCAGTTAATATAATTATCATAAAATAATTGTATACATCATAAAACCTAAACTGTTCCAGATCTCCCTGTATATTACAAATGACGGCATAAATTTGTATATTTGTACAGATATCAGTAAACTACCTAAATTAAAACTCAAACAACATAATTTATTATGTTCTAAAAGTTTGAAATTTGTAATCTGAGAGTTAGAATTTATTGATTTTAATGGGGGATTTGCGGGGAGATAACAGATAAAATAACACAGAGATATAACAAAAAATCTAGCAAAGAGTTCCTTAATTTACCCGGCTGTTTGAAATTTTACTATTAAAATAATTTTTGTATTGCTAATTATAATAAATAAAATTTGTGTCGCCATCTTCCAGGAAATTTATTTCAAAAAAATTTTTTTTTTCTTATTAATTATAACAAGGAAATAGCTGAATTTTGAGGGTAGAGATGAGTTTTAGAAAATTGTAATTAATTAATATTTTCCTCGTTATCTGTAAGTGCGACCTCACTCGAAACATGACGACACAATAATTAGTGTTTCCCCACTCAATCAAAATTTAATAACATCAATGCCTCGTATACATAAGCAACCATGGCTTATTATTTTGTTTATTAACGTTTTGACGTATTAAATTGACGTTATCTTTAGACGTCAATTTAAACGAAACAGACGTCATCAAATAGACACCTCACAATAACACAATAAAATACTGATATTTTTTTATTTAACAGAAGATCAAGGAATAAAATGTTGTATGGACGACATTTTTCTTCTGGGAATTCTTCGCGCAAGAAAATATGAAATGGAAAGATCTCTGCAATTGCTGAAGAATTACTACGAAATTAGACTGCAATATCCTCAATATTTTAAAGACCTTCTTCCTTCCAAGGTAGAGCATGTATTATCGTTGAAAAATATGCAATTTTTGCCAAAACCCGATCAGAAAGGAAGATATGTTTTTCTCTTCCAACACTGTAAGCATTATTACGATTTTCTCTTACATTTTTAAAAGAAAATAACAAAAAAAAGTAAATTTATATTAAAATTTAGCTTTCAAATTATTAATAGACAAGTTATAAATATATTTATTTATTAAAAATACGGAAAATCTAAATTTATATTAAACTGAAACTCCGTATATTTGAAAAATATCGTACGAAGTATTTTATGAATTTTAATTACTGCGGCACCTTGTACTTCAAACGACTGCAATTTTGAACCTTTTAGAATTCAAACGCTCAATTCAAGAGGAATTCGACCCGGAGTTCGAATGATACTTCTACTTTCGAGTGTAATGAAAAAATATGAACCAATCTTTTGTGCGCCCAAGTTATCTCAGGCTCTCGATCTGAAAGAATCTCTTATGTTGCGCAACATATGATTTATTATTATAAAATAAACAATAAGATAAATTTAACATTACGGATTAGTATTATAAAAAATTATAAATGCTAATAGCAAGTAAAATGTTAATTAGTTTAGAACGTACTGGAGATCCAAGAAACGTGCACTCTCTTTCGATTCCACTTTTATGGACTTTCACAACCAAAACTTTATAGTACGAATTTCCTTGATATTCAGTACAATCCTCCCTGCAAAATTTCAGAAATTTGTCAAAAAAATACGGAAATTATTAAGCTTCAAACTGGGTGATATACAGTACATATCTATGTGTACTGTACAGAATATTACATATAAAATAAAAACCCGCAAAAGATTTGAATATTTGAAAGATTCAACCTCTTTTAAGTTCAAAAATATCAAAATCTATTCATTATTATGGTAAAATAAATAACATTTTAATTTAATTAGTCAAAATTTACGTATTTTATTTCCTGTTTTTTGTTTAATATTTAGGGCATTTAATTATTTCTTTTACATTAAATTATGTGTATCGATAAAATTAAGTTAGCAAATTGCCTTTTTTTAATCGAAATGGGTATTGTTTAGAGTATGAGAACAGATTAATTCACTATCCATTATTTCAAATAGAAAAATTATTAGGACTTCGAACAACCCAGAGTCCGAACTGTATCGTGGAACGAATTAAATTTGAAGTACGAGGCACAGCTGTATTCAATTTTTTGTCATGTAATGGTTGATACGTGAAATTTTTTGTTACTTTACAGCTACGTGGGATACATCTGTTGCAAATGCCTGTGATATGCTTCGTACTGTAATGCTATTCTTTGACCTACAACTAAATTTACATCGATCTCAAGAAAAAAAAGTTGTAATTATAGCAAATGCTGAGGGAATATCAGTATCACATTTCCTACAACTTACGCCAAGTTTTCTGAATTCACTAACGAAAGTTTTATTCGTAAGTAAGCCGTAATTTATATGTAATACCTACTTATATATTACGTATTTATTTATAGTGATGCATTATTTATTTACAGCACCAGATTAATTAACTGTCTCAATAATTATTAAAAAAAATAAAAACAATTCGGAAAATTGTATTTCGGCTGGGAAATTTTTTCGAAAAAGTGTAACATTGTTTTAAAGTTTATTGAAAAATCAATATGTAATATGGTTACAAAAACTCACACAAATTTAAAATACGGCGTGTAGAAACTACTAGCTTGAAAAATAATAATATTTTATTACAGTAGAGCCTCGATTATCTGATCCCCGATTAACCGACACCTCGGTTAACCGACCGTCCTAGTCGGCAAATTTCAAATGTCCGCTAGTGATGTGGCGCTACAATATTTGGCTATGTCTTGGCAACTTTAAAATTATTTTTACGTGTTTTAGCTGGCAACACTGGATCGACCATGAAAGGGAGCCAGTATTTAAACGAGGCTTAATTTTCTAATTTTTAACGATGCATTTTAATAGCAACGATTATTATTTAAAAAAGTTTTTGTTAGGCTTAACATCGATGAAAATTCAACGTGAAGTAGGTTAATAGCGATATACTAATATACTAATATACAAATTACATGGGATATAATAATATACTACACTAATAATGGATTTTTTCATACTTTTCGGTTATCCGACTTTTCAATTATCCGACCAACCCCAGTCCCCAATTGGGTCGGATAATCGAGGCTCTACTGTACTTATATAATCAATATCATATAAGAAACAGTATGATACGTGAACACGTACAACACGTACAAAAACACAATTAGAACAACTTTGCTCACGTTTCCAAAATTCAGAAGAAAGAAATTTAAGTAAACTAAGTTTTGATTGTAACTATTCATTTTTGGCTATAATATATTCACTATGTCAAAGTAACCACGACATTGTAGAGTACATGACCGAGTAGAATTACCTTCATTACGAATAAGTCTGAAATACAGATGACCAGAAAACATAACAGGTTAGGGCTGATGTCACCCACAATACTCATTGTTAATTGAGAGGTGAGAACGGAGGGAAGAAATCAAATCCTCTAACGAGTAAACTTTACGAATATTTTACACATGAATTTACAATGCAAATGTCATATAAAGAGAAATAACTCTGCAAGAAATTTAAAGAAAATTGATTAGAAAATATTACTTTAACTAACTTTTATAATTAAATATGAAATATATATCTAAACAATTCGTATATTTATATGTTTTTTTTTTTTTTTACTTTTTCTTTACTAGAGAGATTCGTATCAGGCTCGATTTAGTGAAATTCATTTCGTGAACTTGAATATCATCATGAAGGCGCTTTTAAGCATTTTTATTCCACTTTTACCAAGTAAATTGAGAGACAGGGTAAGTATCACCAATTATTTATTATAATTAACATTAAATTTTTTATATTTTTTATATCTCTTACAAATATAAATATTTTATAACACGAGTAGAATCGAATTTGTAGAAACTCAACAATAACTTACTGTATATAAAACTTGAGTGTATTATTTTGTTATTTATAATAAAGTAACAAAACACAATTTTATAATAGAAAAATAAGTTAGAGAATAACAGGTTTCATCATTGTTTTTATTTTTATTTTTATGTTCTTTTAATGTTTTATAAATAGTTGTATCCAGCAACATATTTGCTGTAAAATTGGTTGCTAAATTAGAAATAGTTAAGAGAAATAAGCGAATAAACTTATTTTTATTAAGTATACTAATAAAAGACATAAAATTCCTTGGAATACACAACGTTTTTTGTAAATAATTTCAGAGTTACGTGTTTATTTCTGCATGCAAATTAAGTCGGTAACATATAATCGAACATACTTTATCATTTTTCTCTTGCCTAATTACATAACAAGGAAATGTATTGAATTACTTTCAAATTTGACCCTCCTAATCTTTTGTAAATCTTCACATTTTAAGTTTTCCTGAACCCAAAAAGTCAAAAAAAGAGATAAAATTCCGTTGTGTGTTTATGTTGGCGTCTAGTATCTGAAGAATGGGTAAAGATGAATAAAAGAAATTTGGCATTATAGCTTGTGTATAAGGGACATAGATACAATCAATTTTTGGTTGATAGAAATGCTAGTGGTGAGATAGAGGGGTGTATGTGTCATATCTCGAGTGGGGTAGACTTGATGAAAATTTCATACGTTATTAACGTTTACGCTTTTTTATAAAACTTATTACAAACCTCAAAATTAAGCCTATTCTATATTATAATAATAAATTAATAACGATGACATCTTTTAAAATAAGTTTTCTTAACAGATAGTGTCATATAAAATGTATTAAGTTATGATTAATAATGTAAACCGAGGGGGTAGAGCGTCGAGCTTGACCCCACTTATCGGCTTCTTTGTCGGGTGATGGCTAGGAGGGCTGTATCGAGTAGAGAGGTGTGAGTAAGTCGACAAGGTGTCCGTAAAAAATTATAGACAGGTCCACGGGTTCAACAAATAATACATTTAATAAACCATAAAATTATATAAAGCAAATGCAAAAGCGAATAGCTACAAAAGTAGAAATAGTCGAAATTTTTAAGTCGCGACAATGATTAATCCATTCTTGTCGGTAGACTGTACAAGTTCTGTATCTTTATCTGTCCAATATTCTCTAAGTTAAACTAACCTCAATCTAGCTTATGACTAAGAGAGAGACCCGAGAGAGAGAGGGTGAAATTTTTCTAAGTGATTACCTCTGTACTTCTGTACGTCGGAGCGCGGAGTTGACCATTAGTCTTCCTTTAGGAAAGACAGCGATTATGGCGGAAGGCAAGGGTGGCGACGGACAGAATGGCGGTATGGATCTGTTGAAGTCCCCTGATGATGTCCGCAGTTGATGTACGTCCGGAGGACTGTGTCCCAACCCTTTTTATACACGTCCCGGAGGGGCTGACTAATACCAGTCTGATGCAATTCCATCTAAGTTTGATTTGCGTCCGGGATTTGTTCATGTTATTTGTCAGAAATCGAAACATTTCTTTAGATTTATTACTTCTTCTATCCGGTATTGTCACCCTTTCCACTTCATAAATTTGATAACAGCTGTCAAAGCAACTGAATTAATTACTGGAGGTGACTAAAGTCAGAGTTTGTCTTGCATCTTAGTAATAATTGTTCCTTATATGGTCATCTTGATCGGCTTTATCGTTGACAACATCGTACGAAATAGTAGGTGTGTGGGTTTTGAGTTTTTCATCTGAAAGTTTAAAAGATCACTTCTCGAAGTGACGCAAAAATTTGAAGGAAGAAGGGAAATAATAATGAGAAAAAATTATTGAAGCTTTAAAATTTACAAAAGAGCTTAAATCTTCACAATAATATAAAAATTATTTTTAAAATAAACTCTCACAACAACCTAGAAAATTGCGAAATTCGCTACTGANGGGATCGACTGTATTGTATAAATTTAAGTATACTCACGAACAAAACTTTAGTCATTGAATTCAGATAATTTGGTGTATATTCCTTGCCCATTTGCTATAGCTACGATACGATGAAGATTTAATTATAGATCCAAGAAGAGCATACAACAACGAAGCATATGTCACTTGCACTTGCAACAGAAGTATCCCAATTAGATGTAAAAGAAACAAGAAACTGAATGTGTTTTCAAGAAAAATTAAAATAGAAAAATTCTTCAATTGCTTCCTATGCAATTTCATATAATAAATTATTTAAATTTATATTTAAAATTTAATGTTCGTAAATAGTTTTAAAGGCGATTTAATTGGAAATAAATTTATGCCATACGGTCTTGTAATAGGCCTGACAGCCCAGGATTTCTATATACTGTATTTTATACACAACAAATATCAATAGAAAATATTTTAAAGCACAATGGTATCATGTATTCGTTTATTTCCCACTATACTAGCATTTTAGTCTGAATTTGTAGTGTCATTCCCCTGTACATCATACTTTTCCTGATAACAGGAGAGTCATGCCGGTCATCTATGTAACTCCATCCAGGAAAAAATTTTTAAATCGAATTCACTGGTCTCGATTTCTATCTATCTAGCACCGTTAAGAGATTAAAGAAGGGCAGACGAACAAACAGACGATGGAAATTTATAAGTGTACAATTTTCTAAATTGTAGCCAATCAGTATGTGCTAAGAAAAAATAATCGTCTTCGAATAGTAACCGGAAGTAAATATACACTTAAAAAAATAGTATTAGAAGATATTATTCAAATTAAAGCAGCTAAATTGCTTTATTGAGCAATTATATACGTATAAATTAGAAATAAATTGATATACAGTCGACCCCCCATAACACTGTTGATTTTTCCGTTTTATATGAATTCCATGTTGTACGAGTCACTTAGATTTTACAAATACGTGAGCCGTTCACANGGTCATCTTGATCGGCTTTATCGTTGACAACATCGTACGAAATAGTAGGTGTGTGGGTTTTGAGTTTTTCATCTGAAAGTTTAAAAGATCACTTCTCGAAGTGACGCAAAAATTTGAAGGAAGAAGGGAAATAATAATGAGAAAAAATTATTGAAGCTTTAAAATTTACAAAAGAGCTTAAATCTTCACAATAATATAAAAATTATTTTTAAAATAAACTCTCACAACAACCTAGAAAATTGCGAAATTCGCTACTGAATTGTTTATTGTACGATAGAAAAGAATTCATTTTCAAATTTACATTCCTTATTAGTTTCAACAATATGCTACGGTACTTAAAGTAAGTAAATGTAAAAATTCATTAAATGAAGTGATATATGTCATTTATTTACTCAAACACGTGCATAATTTTCATCAAATATTGTCCTCTTAAATTGAATGTTACTTTACACATATTAATGTAAAAAAAGCTAATTATAATTTATTCGTGAATTACAGGTGCATCTTCATTCTGATATGTCAACATTATACGAATATATCAGTCCCGATTGTCTGCCGTTGGAATACGGAGGAAATTTGTCAAGTTTCGATCCGACTGCAGCCAATAATATGATTAAAGCTAACGAAGAATTCTTTCGAAAAAACGAAGAATACGTGAAATTGTACGAAGAACAAAGAAATAAAAATTTCAGTCTAGGCACATTTCGCTACGTACGTGAAGAAATTGAAGACGAAAAAGTGAAGAAACTTATAGAAAAAACCGAAGAAAGATTTAAATGTTATTCTCATGATCCAGAAGCATTTTTGGCTGCAATGAAAGAAGATTCTGAATTTGAAATTACACATTTCTAAATGATATAAACTTACGCTATTTTGATGTAAATTGATATAAATATATCTGAATTACTCTCAAATAATATGTAAAAATAACTGTTGATAATAAATTTGGATATAAAACAAATACTGGGTGGGGCATAATGGAGTCCCACATTTACGAGGTGAATTTAGAAAAAAAGGTATAATAATATGAAAAAAACTTTTTATGTATTCAAAGTACTTGCAGTAAGGATTTTTTGGTTAGATTTTAAAAATGATGTCTTCCAATGGGAGTTGGTGATAAGGTTTTCAGTAGTCAACATGCTGTAATCGGAAGAACAACGGGGCTTTTTCATGGAGACTTTTTTCAAAAACGCCGAGTCCGTTACTGCCACGCAGAGGGCATTTCGCACGCGATTTGGTTTAAATCCAAACGAAAGTGTTTGTGCTTGGAAAACGATTTTGAAATGGATCCAAAATTTAAGGGCCATAGGATCTGCAAATCTTAAAAAGCCAGTCGTGCGTCCGAAATCCATGAGGACACCTGAAAACATCGCCGCATTCAGAGTGTCAATAGAGCGGTCGCCAACGCGTTCTGCTCGGAAACATGCCTCTGCACGCCAGATATCGGCTCGAACGGTAAGGCATATTTTGCACTGTGACCTTAAGTTACACTCTTATAAGGTTATGATTGCTTAAGAATCGAGTCCAGTAGATTGTGTAGAAGACGTACAGATTGTTGTAATAAGATTCTTACAGCTGTCTCCTAGCGGTATTTTGTGGAGTAGCGACAAAGCACATTTTCATCTGTCTGATACAGTAAACAAACAGAATTTTCGTTATTGGGCTCCTGTAAACCATCAACCGAGAACTCCATCAACGACCTCTTCACAGCCCGAAAGTCACCGTTTGGTATTCTTTGTCCTCTGCAGTCATCATGGGGTCTTTTTTTGAACAAAATGGCGTCACTGTTTCTGTGACTTCCAAACCGATACTGCGACATGCTGCAGAATTTTTCCGCCACAAAATAGAAGAATACAAGTGGCTTTTGGTTTTAACAGGATGGAGCCACAGCCTATACGACCCATTTTGCCAGAGATTTTCCCCGGGATACTAATTTCTTTAGGAGAAACCGTAGAATAGCCCCCTTGCTCTCCTGATTTGAGCCACTGTGACTTTTTTATGGAGGTATCTCAAGGCAGAGGTTTTTAAACATCGCCCTCGAACCCTACAAAACTCAAAGAGGGCATTCATTATGAAATCGCAAAAATTCCTTCAGATATGCTGGTGAGAGTTGATGAAAAATTCAAGGAACGGTTCCAAATGTGCATCGCCCGTGAGGCCAACATTTGGACGACATCACTTTTAAATCTTAACCAAAATAACCTTATTACATGTACAGTGGGTGATCGGTTAACGAACATAATCCGTTCCAAGACTTTGTTCGCTATCCGAATTGTTCGTTAACCGATTATGAATGTACCATAGGTTTGTATGGGAATTTGATTAATTCGTTCTGGAGACACCCCAAAATAAAAAAATATATACTTTATTACTACGTTTATTTATATGTATACACAGATGTGCATTTTTATTAGTTATGGTTTTTTGTTTGTGGGGGTTAAATAATCTGTCTAATGTCGATTGCTTTTCTCTCTTCTTCGGGATTTTTCAGAAGTAATTAATAGCATTGTAATTGTAGAGATCCCCAAGCCTATTAACCTCAACCTGGTTTGTATGCCATTTCTAAGACCGTTGATCTGACATCCCCCATTTCTTCAAAAGATCTTTAATTAACAGCAGATATCGGCATTAATCCTCTTTTTCAGAATAAAACATATCTTGCCGAGTTTCTTGGTGTTCTCTATTCAAGAGTTCTTGAAGTTCTTCTGTCGTCAGATCCGTTTCAGGTTCCATTATGGGATCTTCATTGTTCTTTATTTCTTAGATGTGATTTTTGTTACTCTTTTAGCTGCTTGAGTCTTCTTGATAATACAGTATCTTTCTTAGATAAGATTGAACTGCGGCCTACTGTAGACCTGTTCAAGCCATACTGCCCAGCAACAACAGACATCAGACATCTGCCCACCTTTGCTGTTATACTCTCACCTTTCGAAAATAAAAACCGACACAAAACTTAATGAGTGACCGCCCGACAGTCTCGCGAATACTATAAAAGAATTGTTTGTCAGAAAAATAAAAGGTTGGAATTACAAGGGAGTACTGTATTTCAAAGTTCCAGGGATACTATCTAATCAGTATATTATCAGGTTGAGCGTCGACGTTGAGGTCTCCCGCGCTCCAAAAAGTTACCTGAAAACAAAGGAAAATCAGTCGGTATTTGCTATTTTCGTCGCTTCTTTTTATGTCTGTTCAGTGAAGTGTTCGTTATCCGATCATGTGTTCGTTGTCCGATCATAAAAATCTTTCGCGAAAGTGTTCNGAAAAAATTGCGACAGTATTCGTACAAACATGCTAAAAAAAACTCGTATAATTCAGTAAAACGTCATCACCGACTCGTGTCGCGACAGGATTGGTCTAATCTAGACCAATAGCAGATATTGTACAAACCGTTGAGTTTAAACGAGCAGCGGACCTACTAAAAACATTTATTATTTAACGTTCATAAAAATTATATTTATATTAATGATGTCTCCAAAGCTCAGCGAATTTTTCGCAAAAAGTATAATTTATCAGAAAGCAAGCGAGCGCCATTCGATGACAACTCCATGACGAAAACAAGCGTAAGCAATGGCGTCGTCGAACGGTGCACACTCGGTAAGTATACAATTTTTTGTTCATAGCATAGTTTATATGGATTATTCCCAAAAAATTATACGTATTTTGGAAATGTTGAGTCGAATTAGTCTAGAATCGATTAATTTTGTGGAAGAAAATTTTTCAAACAGCCGTAAACCGTAAATTGCACAGGTGCCGGGCTGTGATTGGCTCATGTATTTAAGTACTCGTAGAAAATAAATTCATAAAATCCGGAACGTATCTACCGTGTTATAGAGGGATCGACTGTATTGTTATTTTGTGATAAATTTTAATCGAATAAGCTCTTTTTTTTAATTCTCTTCTCATCATCGCAAATTACTTTTTTTATACGAGAACTTACATCGTCATTCCATAAATAGAATATAAATAAATTTTATGAGGCAATACACAAAATATCAATTTCGTAACTAATAAAATATCAAAAATAAGAGTAGAATACTTTTGTATTTTAAAACTCCACGTTTTATAGAGATTGGAAAACTCTTTACACAGAGGCAAATTACACTTTTTAATTTCTGCGTGTATATTGTCTAATTCGACCTTGTTTGGTAATAGGACTTATTATACTGACGTTTTGTCTGATTAACAAAGAGGAAATCTCAAAAGTCAAAACAAAATATCTTTATTTTACCTTTATTTTTAGGTATAAACAAAAATATCTTGTAGAGTGTATACAGTGTTTATTACACAAGCAATAATGGTTATTCGACAATTAGGTCCAGGACCAACTAAAAGTATGTGCAAAAGGTAAATTTAAATGTTTACTGAATTTCTATTCAGTTATTGCATCATATCCACAGGAAAGGAATACAAAGAATATAAGTGATAAAAATACTATAGTACTTGATATACAATACATTAATTAATACAAAAATAATGATTTATTTCAAAATATAGATATAAAGAAGAATAGTAAAGTAATTTAAGTACTTAAATTCTCATAACTAACGTTGATAATATTTTTATAGCCATTTTTATTATATACAGACAGGAAAATATATTGTTTATATATAAAAGTTAATTAACTCAAATGTGAAGGAAGTGAAATAATTATTAAATATTCTTTTATTAAATGTTATTTTTATAAAAATATATAAAATGCATAATTAGTTGTTATGAGGAAGTATTTTAGTAACATATCTATGTATTAATTAAAAGAGAGTTTTCAGTTTGTCCGAATTAGTTTGAGTAAACTGCTGGGACTAAAAATACGGTTCAGACATGAAATTAAAGTTCTTTTCTCGTATAAGATGCCACTGAAGAGAAATTTGAGAAAGGTGCAATGGTTTCATCGTGGCGAAGTGGCACATTTACTGTACGAAGTTAGAAAAGTGAAACCAGGGATGTGAAAGAATATGCTCAGGAGAATAAGATTAATTATATAGGAACTTTAAGATTTCAACAGTAATCACGTTGTTTCAATTCAAATCTTTACACTAAAAGGAGTGAGATAGACGACCGCCACACCTCTCTTGCAAGCAGTAAAAGCATATTGTACAGGAAGCAAGTCACTACTAACATGAAGGGAAGAGTATATATTTTAAATTAAATTGCAGTCCTGTCTTATGGCGATGTCATAATAAAATAATTATTCGTGTTTAAGTACGCTTAACATAAACACAAACTTTTAAAAAGTATAGAGGAGAAGGTGGTATTATGGAACACTGCGGGTATTATGGAACCACCCCATTTCGAATTGATAATAAAGGCGAACTGTAGCGGAATGTGGCTGAACTGAACTAGGCAGACATCCATAGCAAGGGGAAAACCCGTTTTACTTCAGTTAAACGGTTGTCCGTATTTAATCAGCAAATTTGTTTTTTTCAAAATTCGCAAGTTTTGAATGCTAAGTGAATTTAATTATTTTTAAAATATAAATCGTGTAGTTGTAGGTTCACTGGTGCATGTATTCCGTTCCAGAGACTTAGGGGTACATATTAATCTGTGTGATGTTCACGTTTTTTAAATTTTGGTCTTGACAGACATAAGTTAATTCGAGATGGCGATGCGTGAAATACGGACCCCATTGGTGCTTTTACAGTAATATGGAACTCAACTCCTCCGAACTTTCTATTTGCAAGCAGACATTCCTCCAGAGCAATTTGTGAAAAAGACACTAGGTAGAAAGCCAATTCTTCCTGAGAATATCGAAAAAGAGCTGCTGGAATATATATTGTTGATGGAGGTCATATTTTTCTATTATAAAAGCATTTTTGCGATAAAATACATTGGAGTAAATAATTTGGTAATTATTT